TATATATATATATATATATATATATATATATATATACTATATATATATTTACCCTGATTTCTGACATTGATTAGTGATTAAAGAAAGGATTAACCCTCTACAAACAAAAGTGCTTTTATGAATACCATTACAAAATTAAAAGTTTGAAGTTCTTGTAGTTCTATCTATCAGTTGTTTCAGGTATTTCTATTCACCTTCAAAATTGATGCAGCATTAAAATTTGACTCGTCTGGACTTCCTAATGGCAAATTCGTTGATGGTATCATCAAATGAGATTTTATTTGAGACCTCTTAGTTGATGCTCATCAGTGCAAGCCCATTTTGATGATTATTTGTACATCCCTTTTCCCACCAGGCTGGTGACATGGTGATGTAAAGCTGTGTGTCGTCTGCATCATGGTAGCTGATGTTGTTGTGGCCATGGCAACCCCTGACCCCCCATCTAGCTCCGCCCCTGACAGAACCGCCGCTGCATTGATTATTTGCACAGACAGCTTGCCATAAACGTTCGTGCGCACATGCGTAAAATGCAGCAGGGGTTCGCGCATGGCATCTCCTTCGCTGCGCTCCCGTCTCCTGCCGCTGGGTCGCTGCTGATGCCGAGCGGCTCAGCCTGCGCGTTCTGACGTGCGGCTTCAGCCGTAGTTACCAAACCGAGAGGCGAATGAAACCGGAGAGGAGCCTGAAACATGATGACGGAAGGTCCCAATGGTTCCTCAGCATCCCGACGGCTGTAACCCCGGTGGATTTATCAGAGGTGAGAATGCGTCTGTGGATCTCTGAGGAGATCTCCCTCCCTCCCTCCCTCCCCCAACGTATTCACCCTGGACCACTCCGCTCAGCCTCCCAATCTGACTCCTCTCTGCCAACGGTGACGATGCTCTAAACGCAACCTGCCTGCGCTCCATCCGGTAAACGCCATCTCTCTTTACTAATGTCGAGGCGGTCTGCGAGATTTGACAAGATCTGCACTGTTTTTGTTGTCCAGAAAAGGAAGGGAAGGGGATAGAAAAATCAAATCATCACGACACGATTCCCATTGCGGAAATAAAATAACCTAAATAGGCATTTAAATCAGCAACATGGCTGCACTGATGGTCCTCCTGGAGTGATTCCCTCAGAGTGGGAATAAAAGCGGCAAGAAAGGGAGAAATAAAAGATGTGAGCGGTCAGGAGGTACTGCAGTAAGCAAGAGTCCTTCTGTTCAATCGCCTCAAAGGATGTTGTCATTACCTCCAAGCTGAAGGTGCGGTTACACTCTACCCTCATAGGCCTGACCATAGTCTTAAAGCTTTATCTAATTTATTTCAAGTGCACTTAAATTACCTCACTTGGATTTTAATCGTCCCAAGAGTGTGAATGGCATTGTTCAAACGTCTGTAATTTATTCTAAGGGAAAACTAACAACTTGTTCCAGATCAGAGGATGCTGTTCTCTGAATGGTCCTCCAGTGAAATCTACTGATCACATCCTGTTCTGCTGACTTGTGCACATTGGTCTCTTAATAAAACCCTTTTTTTTCCTTCTGATTTACAAATAGAGCTTTAGTTTTCATCAGGATTGCTTCTCCAACTATTGTTCGGCAGCAACGTTTTCTCAAATATCTCTGTTTTCTTTGTTGCTGGAGCAGAAGCGGCGTTACTCCTAATGGGATAAATGGTGCTGATTCTGAAAACATTCATCAGATACCAAAATCTAAATAAATATTCTGGTAACTAAATCTATCGGCTGTTCTGTGTGCAAAATGAGTCATGCATCCTAAAAATGTAAGTAGGCTTATTTGTTTTGACGTTACACACCCCAAAAAAAAGCCATTTTATTTTATTTTTCTGATTTTTAGAGCGTGATTGCTAAATGCAATAAAAACAATACACGGTGCTTTAACTATATTTGTTAAAGATCTGAAAAGACTGACAAAAAACCCATTTTACTGATGTACAGCGGCGTCCTGAGTCGTGTCTCTACCAGCTTTTAGCTTTCAGATTCGCTAAAAAACAACATCTTCAATTCTTGCCTCTGATTTTTACCTGATACAGTTCTGCACTTTGACTTGTTCGGAGTGGTCCTCCTGACAGTGGAACCTTCTCACCACTCTGACGTCTCTCACTTCGTCTTACAGATTCTGTAAGTCAGGCTGGCCTCCCTGTCCTAGGAAACAAACGGAAACATTCCAACAACTTAATACTACCACCACCGTGTCAGATAGTTGGGATTCTAGCTTCAGGGTGCAATAAAACATTTTCTCCATGTGCAGCATCAAGTAGGCAGTCCTAAAAGTCCACATTTGTGTTTATCTTATCAGAGCTCCTTCTGCCTGGTTGCTGTGTCCTCCACCTGGCTTATGAAAACAGCGCAAATCAAAATTCTAATAATTTCTTACATTTACTGTCTTTTTGCCACTCTTGCCCTCTTAGCTGCTTCTCCGATTAGATATAAAGGCCCTGTGTTTTTATAGGTTTGCAGATGTCCCATGCTCTTTCATTTTGGTTCTCTATAGATGTCCAAAGCCTGGAACATTGTTTTATAAACTAAATTTACTTCAAACTTCTCCATCCACCATCTGTAGTTCAGCAACAATTTTAGTAATCGATTAATCGTTAACTTGAGTACTTCAAAACATGCCTTTGGCTCAAAGAGCAACCCACTCAGAGCACTTATTATACCAAAATTGTAAAAAAAAAAATAATATATATATATATATATATATATATATATATATATATATATATATATATATATAAAGATTTTGCATTCAAGATGAAAAATCTTGTCCGTCCATTGAATATGCTCGATCCAGAAGTCCTCAAACCGCACAGTTTTAGCCTCACTTGGTTTAGATTCTGTGTAAAATATTCTTTCTATTTGATTGTTAACTGATTAATCTAAAAAAGAATCGACAGATTAATCGTTTAAATAGTATTTACTGTATGATGAGATCAGAAAAGACACAAGGGAGCTCCAACAGCAGCCTTTTACTATAGATTATATAGGGGTATTCGAGTAGAGGGGGAAAAATAGAAAAAGTACACCAAACCTGAGAAAGTGCGGTAAACTTTTTCAGTTTTGAAAGCCATTTTCCTTCAACCTTGACATTATTCACTTCATTTTCCTGCTTAATCATCTAAAACCTGGATATATATGTAGAATTATCGAGTGAGAAGCTGTGAAAAGATTCAAGTTTGAATATTTTAGCAAGGCATTGCATAAGGAACTAACTAAAATGTTCAACCCAAGTTTGATTTGCCAGCTTGATGTATTTGAGTGAGCAAAGGTTTTTGCTTTATAGCACACAAAAGCAAAATATGAATTTTTAGCTTGCAGGACCTTAGGATCTTTAAGCAGCTCAGCTGACTATCACCTCCTCACTAACATTCATGTGACCCACGCCTAGGGTGCACAGAACAAACATGTGGTCTGACGTTTTCCCAGGGACACCCAGCGCTCATCGCTCATTGGCCGGCCTTAATGTGCTCTTTGTCCATCATCATTTAATAGTTCCTCTGCAGCTCTGTTGTTGTCATCAGCCCACAGGATGCAGGCGTTGCTGAGCGCGATGTCATGGAGAATTATCATTTGTGTAGACCACAGGCCCTGGATGGCTCCTAAGGTTGTGTGCCCATATCTCTACATAAGCAGAGAGGAGAAACAACAGCCCAGACTGGGAGTTAATAAAGTCTTTGAAGAGAAGAAGAAGAAAGGAATATTTTAATTACTTTTCTTTTTTTTTTTATGCAAAACTACATTAGGGGAAAAATTGAGAGCCTGAAACTAAGATCAACTTAAAAAAAGACCCCTTCACTAAGATTTCGCTGTCCTTCCTTCCTAGGTTCGACCTTCAGGGCATCACTTTGGGTGATATCTAATCAGAAGCAGGTAAGCACCTTAGAACTGTCGAGTTCAGACACACTGAAAAGATGCCAAAATCATTATAATTAGGATGATTTCAGCTTTCCAATCAGTTTTATTGTTCGTATGGATTCTACCATGAAATGCAGTCACATAATAATAACTCACCGTCCTCCACAAAACCCCCCCACACCCTCAGATTGTAATGTTAAATGCACTTTCCAGTAAAAATCAGATTAAAAAATAAAAAGGGCATAAAATTGAAAGCAGCAAAGAGGGCCATAGTAACCAGATATTCACTAATCAAGGGGGTGAATTTGTGAACAAGTCTTACTGTAGTTCACAAATATAGTCTTTGTCATTGAAAGGCAAGGAGATTAGATTTCTATTTGTTGTACATCTTGGACACCGTTAGGCACTCCTTTGTCGGCGAGACTCTTCGGTTCAAGAAGCAGGAAGATATTTTTCCTAAGACTCAGTTTCTGTTGTATTTGTATTGGATCATATCAGAGAACTTCATTCATTTAAAAGTGACTACATTAATAGGGTGCTGCTGGCTGAACTTTAAGTGCTGCATGCTCTGGTGTTTGATGGGCCACAGGATGATCGAAGAAGGCAGTAAACGAGGCAAGGCCATGGTCGAGAAGAGACAGCTCTTCATGGAAATGAGTGAGTGAAGTCAGCTCATGTAGAACTGTTTGACTAGCGGTGTGCTCTCTCATAATGTTTAAATGTGCCTGCATAACCCTGTTTAGAACTGGAATAGTGTTATGCTTTTATTGTGAAAGTATACCCTGAAAAAAGGCAGCTAATAGCAGTTTGTAACATTATAAATCACCAATAATGTGTTTTTGTGAAGCTATTAGAGACATTACTACTGATGCAGGGCTATTTTTGGCACAATTCAGGTTCTTTTACTTTTACCGTCTAAACAAGCCTCATTAATTATCTGTCTTATAATGGGGAGCAATAAAAGAATGTTTTATCACAAATTGGTCTCTATGTTGTGTTTTTCTTTTTTTTTTTATTATTATTATGGCTTTGTTTTTCAGGAGCGCAAAACTTTGATGTAATCAGATTATCAACTTATAGGACTGCCTGCAAACTCCGGTTTGTCCAAAAGAGATGCAATCGTAAGTTCCTTTCCAAATTTGATCTCTGAGGACATTTTATGAAGATGCCAGCCATGAATTCATGTTCTGATGATGAGTCTCTCCCTCCCTCCCTTTTCACAGTCCATCTGGTGGATGTCTGGAACATGATCGAAGCTTTCAGAGACAACGGGCTCAACACGCTGGACCACAACGCTGAGATCAGTGTGTCACGGCTGGAGACAATCCTGTCTTCCATCTATTACCAACTCAACAAGCGGCTGCCCACCACCCACCAGATCAATGTGGAGCAGTCCATCGGGTTGCTGTTGAACTTCATGGTGGCTACCTATGACAGGTTTGGGACAAGCGGTCGGCACAGGACTGATACAAAACCACTATACCGGATAATGAGTCGAGAAAGCTTTTAATGTCATATACAATACCAGACATTTATCAGCAAACCTTGTACAGATGTGTAAAAAATCCTAAATATCATATATGATAAAATATTGCCTTTGGCATTACAAAGTATTCATGTAATGAATTATTAGTAGTTTTTTATGCTATTTTCCCACCTGAAAGAAAGACACTTGCCTTCAATGAGATAATGCATCTCTATTTGAGCGCCACCCGCTATATGACATCACCGTATCACTCCATTTCTGGCTGTGAAGCTGTTCTCTGGGAAGACGGAGCAAAGTCTGGAGCCTCCTAAAGCCAAAAATCACTTTTTCATCACTTAGACATTAGCTACAACAGAGCAGTTGCTGTCACTGTGCAGATCAGAGGCTAAAAGGGTGAGGGTTTGTTTCAACTTAAGCAGAAATGATCGTGTGCGCTGCCTCAAAACACCACCTGCTGATTAAAAATGTAGCATTTTGTTTACTGGTAAGGAATGGCAGGAACAATCTAGGTGCTTTCTGTAGGGGGTTGGAATTACTGCTCTGGGTAGAACGTTGATGGCTACTTATATTCCAGGACAGGAAAGGACAGCTGCTCAGAGAGTAGGATTCAGGAGGGCTACTCAGACGTACATGAATCAAGCAAAATACAATTTTGGGTCCAATTTTGGTGAAGGTATAGCATTATAACTCATTAGAAGTCCAAAAAAGATGATTACGAAAGATATAGGCCCCAAGGTTCACTAACTTAAAAAAATTGTTCATTTGGATAAAAAAAAATCAGATTATATCATTAGAAAAAATGATTACAATTTATCTCCTTTTTTTAATGTCACGTTTAACTTGAACAGTAGAGAGGAGAAAAGGGAAATTCATACCCATCAAAGATTTGACGTCACTTTTGAGGTTTATTTCTATAGAACAATACAGTACATGAACAATTCAAAGTGCTTTACATTAGTTAGATAATATAAAATGAAGAAAATAAAAGCAGAATAAACGAAAATATTTTTTTAAAACGAGTAAGGCCCCGTCCACACGAAGTCAAACCCTGGCCTAAACGGACAAATTTTTCACCAAACCAGCCTCTCATCCATACGAAGCCGGCGTTTCGGGGGTCTGTAAACGATCTTTTTTTTATTCAGCCTTCAGAGTGGGAAGAATTTTAAACGCCGTTTTCGCGTTTCCATCTTTAAGCTCTAGCCGCATTTTTTTTCTTACACGCATGCGTCATAGCGTCGCCTCTAAACACGCATGCGCGACACAGTATCACAACAACAATGGCGCCATACTGTGTTGAATGGTTGCTGCTCATGCTACTCACCCTGCTGTTGGGCTTACAACAGAATCTTCTTCTTCTGGAATATCTCCAGGAAGAACAGAGCAATATCGACCACATAGTTCAGCACCTGAATTTGACTGAACCACGAACATAGACCCGCAGGGCAACCATGTATAAATATTAGTGCGCATGCCCAACATTTCGTCGCTTATTTTTGCTTTGGCACCACAGCGCCACTTACAGGCCTGGCATACATTTTGCAGCGTTTTCATGCATTCGTGTGGACGATCACATTTATTTTACGTCTCCGTCTTTACGACAAACGTTCTGGAAAATATTAGCGTTTCGTGTTCGTTTTGACTTCGTGTGGACGGGGGCCTAAATCAGTTGAACCACAACCTTGAACTAATGATACCTCAGCAGTTTAATTTCAACAGTCAAAGGCAGTTCTAAACAAATGATTTTTAAAACTTTGACTTAAAATAACCTAAAAGGCTTTCAGCACTTTTACAGTCTGCAGGGAGTTTGCTCCAGAAAAGTGGAGCATAGGAACTGATGTTTGATTCGTGTTTTGGGTGTACAGAGTGGGCTTGAACTAGAAGACCTGACTGCTCTGGCAGGCTGATAACCGACAACAGATATTTTATGTATAGAGGCGCTGATACATTCAGTGATTTATAGATTAACAGAAGTCTGTTCTCTGAGTGAGCCAATGTAAGGACTTTAGACCCAGGCTGATGTGTTCTACTTTTTTGGTTCTAGTGAGAACACAGGCAGCAGCATGTTGGATCAGCTGCAGCTGTCTGATGGAATTTATAGGCAAACCTATTGCAGTAATCAGTTGTACTAAAGATAAATGCATTGATGATTTTTTTCTTGATCCTGATAAGACATGAGTCCTTTAATCCTGGAAATGATCTTTAGGTGATGAAAGGCTGACCTGGTAACTGTCTTTATGTGCATCTGAAGGTTCAGGTCTGAATCCATCATGACACCAAGATTTCCGTCATAATCAGTGGTTTCTAGCTATAGTAGCTAAACCTGTAAGCTAGCTCTGGATCTCTCCTCCTTTGGTCTGAAAATTATTACCTTAGTTTTGTTTTTATCCATCTGTTTCTCACGGGTTCATAGTCACCTGGTGATATTGTGATATAAAGCTGTGTGTCGTCTGCATAGTTATGGTTAATGATTGTGTTGATTGTTATTTACTCAATTTATTAATAAATAAATTGAGTAGGAGAGGCCCCAGGATGGATTCATGAGGAACTCCACATGTGATTGTCTGGTCTCCGATTTAAAGTTCCATAGTGACACATAAAAGTCCAATCCTTATATTTAGACACAATCCAAATGTTAACATGTATTACCGCAGCTCCATTTGGATTTTGACTAGGACCATATGCTGTGTTTAGATGAGAATACAATTGAGCTTTTCAGCAGCAAACCCTCCCATTATGACATCATTCCACCTGCTAAGTATGGTGGAGGATCTGTGATGCTATGGGGATGTGTCTGAGGGACTCCTTAAAAAAGGGAGCTTAAATAAAAAGCAAAAAAAAAGCAAAACTTGTTATCAAAAACATGCAACCAAATCAACACAGAAATGCTGAAAACAATCAACCCTTTTCCAAGGCTACAGACTTAAATCATATGTTAATTTGTGGGGATAGCTAAAAAAAAAAATAGAATTTAAAATAATTATTTACTTTTTAAAGATTTAGTAGCAAAGAAAAAAAAAACATTAGAAGAAGCAAACTGCTTATTAAGGAGAAACAGTGTGTTAATTATCTTTATATTTATGAAAACAATATAAAAATCAGTCACTCATTTAAAACCATAGAGACTCAGACAAACTTTATTGTCCTTTTGCATGCACAGAGTGTATATAAAACGAAATTTCATTGCATACAGCTTACGAAAGTGTAATGAGATTGCAGTTGGAGTGAGATAAACAACATCAGAATGTACACAATGTTTAAGAAAGTTTAAATAGTGGTGCAAAAGGGCATTGATATGAAAAAGTTCAGAGCAGTGCAAAAATTAATATGGTGCAAAATGCAGTTAAAATACATTTGAGTTGTGTCCTATTTAAAAGGTTTATAAAAGTTGTCTCATGTTTGTAGTGCAAAATAATGATGCAGATAGTCAAATTTTTTTAAACTATTAAACCCATCCTTTTTCACAGCCTTTATTATAAACTATGTTGATTAGTTCTACCTTGTTTTTGCTCCAACATATATATAAAAAAAACACATTTGGGAACATTTTCCAAGAAACTAAGCTTTAAAAAAAAATGCAGTCCTGCCCTCAATTCTCAAGATTTTGAGATAACATTTCTAAAATCCATTAAATTTACCAACCAAATACTCTGATCCCAAAAAAAAAAAAGGTTTTTAAACAACTTTTAGAAAGATGATTCTATCAGCTAAATCACCCCTTTATATTGAAATCTGTCCCTGTTGCTAGTCTGCCAGAAGCACTGAATCCACTGTGCGGAGCAGAGACATTCATCTTTGGCTAATAAGGTTCTCTATCATGAGTTAACCTGTTTATTTGATTGGCTGCTTGCCCTCCCTATTCCTGGACCCATTTAGTTGGTTTACTTTTATCTGTGAAGCCATTCTAGTCCCGCTCCATTACTAATTATGCTGCTGCATATCTGGGAAACTTTGAGATAATGGCTGCGTTTACAGGAAGCAGCTTCATTATCCATCCCTTATGTCCAATCTAAATTAGGCAGCAGCACTATCGCGCTCTGTGATACCTCTAGACCCAAGCAAAAGCAAATAAACTGGAGGCTCTGTTGGGTAAACTAAATATATATTTAGAAAAATGGCAACTGAAATAAGCGACTTTATACCCACCCAACTACTTTCCCCTTACAATACTCTTTTTGCTAATTTGACTCATGTTTAAGATGAAGAAGAAGTAAAGCATTGGAGTCAGCTTAGAAATTATTATTTTATTTATGAAGAGAGAGTAGCCTCACCTTTTGTAAAGAAGTAATTACGCATTCTAAGTTTGTAAAATGAATTACGTCTAACCACATTTTTAGTTATTTTTGTTAGGGATGAAACATTTAATCGGATTAATCATGATTAATTGATCATTGTAATAATCTTCAACTAATTCAGTGATTGATTAAACATTAACTGAAGTATAGAGACTCTAAAACATGCCTTTAGCTGAAAGACGAACCCACCTGCAGCAGCAATTATACCAAAATTGTAAGAAAAATATGTAAACATTCTGCATTTATGATAAAAATCTTTTTCGTCTGTTAATATGCTCCATCCAGAACTCCTCAAGTAGAAAAGTTTAATTTCACCTGTTTTCATTTAGCAAAAAGTCTTCTTTAAGTTATGTTATTGTTTGTTATCCGATTATTAATCGAAAAAATAACTAACAGATTAATCGATTTGCAAAATAATCGTTAGTTGCAGCGCTAGTTTTAGTTGACCCATCCAGCCCTGATTACGTCCAGACTTGAAGAGTCTGACAGCAGGAAGTAGGCTAAAAGATACCAAAAATTTAAACATCATACCTCCATCCATCGAAATACAGGAAATAAAATCCACTTCTGTCTGCCAGGAAATGGTTACAAAACTATTTATAATGTTTGGAACTCCAGCGAGTCGATGTAAGAATCATTATTCACACATGGAGAAAACCTAGAAGAGCGATGAACCTTCCCAGGATTGGTAGGCCTAATAAGAATACACGGATGCACTGAAGGACTAACATCTGCCTACACTAGACTCCGTGTTTATGATTCAAATAATAAAATGAGACTGTGCAACAATGGCATTACAGAGAAACAGAGATCCAAAACCAAAACCCCAAAGACTTTTTTTACATTCCTCAGACTGCAGAGATAAAAATGAAAATGTTTTTGGAGGTGAGAGCTAATTTAATGCAAACACAGTGTTTTCATTTAATGAAAACATTTAATTCTGCTCTTTAGTGGTTCAGCCAACAGTTTTTGAACTTAATAAGCTCAAGCACATTTGGGTCATGCAGCAGGACAACAATTCCAAGTACAGCAGCTACTGTAGTATAACACTAACTGACCCAAAAACAGCATTATTAAGCTTTAAGAGTGTCCTAGTCAAAGTCTGAACTTAACTCCATGCTTTATGCTGCCAAGGGTGAGAAAGCCGGTCATAAGGTTTAGAGGCCAGGCTGGTTTTGGATTTCTTCCCCCTTAGAGAAATCAATATTTGAGTGGTTTGTGTTTACCCAAGTTATCTTTGCCTGAAATTCAGAATTACGCTCATGACTTAAACCTTCAAGTGTGAGAAGTAGAATATTTTTAGCAGCAAATACATTTTCACAACACTGTATTAAACACTTTTCAACATTTTTTTTTCTTTTTTTTTTCCACCACAAAATGTAATGCGCATCATGATGATCAATTTTCTTTTTCAAATTACTTTAAATATTAATTTTACATGTTTTGTGAGATGATCTACTCCGTTATTTCTGCAAAATGTGACGTTCCAGGCGTTACTGTATGTTCAAACACCTTTTTGGCATAACCCAAGAAGCTGTTTCAACTAGAACTAAATCTTTTTGAATCAACCACATATTGTTTTTCTTTCAGTGTTTTATTTTATTTTTTGTCTCACAAAATCAGTTTAATGTATTCATAATGTCCGCTTTCTTTCCAAAATACAGCGAAAGTCATGGGAAGCTGACCGTTTTCTCAATGAAAGCCATGCTGGCAACAATGTGTGGAGGAAAAATCGTCGACAAGCTGCGCTGTAAGCATGATCTCACCCACTATAGTTAAAGGATACACAGTTTATCTGCTTGATGTTTTAGATAGCTTTCTTCTACACTCATGTCCCCATGCAGTTTCTTTATTTAAACACAGAGGGGCACTCTCAAGCCATATACGTTTTCTTTATTATTTGAATGCAACAGAGATCATGCAACATAAATATGAAAAAACATTTTTTTTTTATGTTTTTGTTGCTTTTTCCAACAATGAAGTAAATCAACTGCATGTTCCTCAGATATTTTCTCACAGATCTCTGATTCAAGTGGAGTCATGGTGTTCGCAAAGTTCGATCAGTTCCTCCGAGAGGTGTTGAAGCTTCCCACAGCAGTATTTGAGGGCCCGTCCTTTGGCTACACGGAGCACGCAGTGCGGATGTGCTTCCCTCAGCAGGTAGGGCGAGCGATAACAACATCCTTAATCTTTTCATTTCTGCTTCTGTGTAGAATTGAATACATGTTTTTTTTGTTTGCCTCCAGAAGAAGATCATGTTGAACACATTTCTGGATGTGTTGATGGCTGATCCTCCTCCTCAGTGTCTTGTGTGGTTACCACTCATGCACCGACTTGCTAATGTTGAAAATGGTAAGGCAGAAAAGTCTATATCTGCTCACAGAGTAAAAAAATAAAGTAAAACATTTTTAAAAAGGTACACCACAAAAATACTTGAAGCATTAGAGGTTTTTGGATGCCAACAGTTAATTGTAAAAAAAATTGTGATGTGTGTGCAAAAGGTGAAACAGTCTCTCCTATTAGGGAAGTTTGATTATATTATGGCCTAAATTCTGAAATCACTTTCATATCAGATCACTTTCATAAAATCTGAGGTCTGATTAAATGTGAGACTCTGTTTGTAGGATTTATTCTCATTTTCTGTCATCAGACATATGATTATAACCAATAAAACAACAACTCATACTGTCAGTAAATGTTTTACAAAACTAAATCTAAAATAGAAAAAACTGTGCAAATAATGACTCTCTTAGTATTTTATGATCAAAGGGAAAATTAAAGATTGAAAGCGGCTCCTGCATTTTACCAAGTGCTTTTGTGGAATTAGGAAAATATGAGATAATTAATAAAACTATATTTTAATACCTGCATCAGACACTTTCTTGGAGTTATTACTTTTTACTTAAGACCAAAATGCAGGGGCAATATCCTGAATTATTATGTTCATTATGGGCAGTATTAACAGGATGCATTATAAATCCAGAGATGTGGTGTCTTTAAGTGTGCGTAGAAATACTGGTTTAAATCATCTTCCCATGCCATCTAAGAAGTAAGAGGCAGTCTAAACAGGTCACCACATTGCAGGGAATTAATGAATCACTTCCAACATGTAGGCCGGTATATGTTTTTACGGTGAGTATGAAGAAAGCTCCTAAACTCTGGACATATAATAAAGCACAGCTTTTTCAGACTAAGAGGAAATGTTCCCTGAAAATGATGAAAAGTGAAGGCTTGTCATAGACCAAGCCTAAGCTAGTACTAGGTTTAGACTGATTCCATTATTCAGTTCGTTATTCATGTTTGAGAATTAAACTCGTCACAGTAAAACAACAGAGTAGCAGGTGCTGAAATCTCAGATCTAAATCCTGAACAGAAGAAATTAAGAAAACAGTGGCATTACGTTTTTAAAGTAAATAAAAACAGGACTATTTTATTGATAATGAGTTTAAATAGTCTGTATAAGAGCACGCAATTACGCCTTTGAACATGTGATCTTTTTTATTTTTTGATGGCGCGAAGGCAGTTCTAGGATCTAGTTACCTTAACCAATTCAACTCTGGCATCATGTTTGGGTTTGCTGTCTTTATCGAAGGAGGAGATTATCCCGCTTGGTCTTCCATAAGATTAGCTTCATTCATCTTTCATTTAACAGGGAACAGTTTCCTAATGCTTACAGAAAAAAAAATATCCCCACAGCATAATGCTGCCACCACCATCATGGTGTTTTTAGCGTGCATTAAGTAAAATATGACTTTTACTTAGGAAAAAAAGGTAATTTTACCTTTTTAAAACCGGCAATAATGTCAACAGGATATGTGGCTAAATGCCATAAACATAAATAACATAATGAATCATTCTAAGATTGCATGAAATAACCCACAGCACATTTTTCTTGCATTCTGACCTCTCCACAACCATTAAAACAGCGAGGCAAGTTTATTTATAAAGCACAATTCAGTGCAAAGACAATAAAAACTACTTTAGAAGGAAAATAAAAGCAGAAAAAAGCAATTAAAGATAAAATCATCATAAAAAGAGGTAGTAAACCAAATAAAATGGATCACAAACTTAAACTAGCAAGACCAAAGTGCAATCTAAAGACTAGATAGATATACAGAAAACTGAAATGAGAACAAAAAAATCAGCAGGATGCTTGGTGACAAGGCAGTTTGGCGCTTATCACAAAATAAACACGAACACTAAAAGTGTAAGTCTGCTATACACTGCAAAAAACATCTAGAAATAAGTAAAAAATGTCTTAAATTAAGTGTATTTACCCTTAATTTGAGCAGGTAAATAAGATGATCTGCCAATGGAATGAGTATTTTTACTCCTAAAATAAGATAATTAGATAATATACACTTGAAATAAGACAAAGCAATAGTTTTTTTTCTTATTTTAAATGTAAATTGTCTTGTTCCATTGGCAAAGTGTCTCGCTTACCTCCTCAATTCAAGAAAAAATGCACTTAATTTGAGCAAAAATTACTTATTTAGATTTCCATTTTTTGCAGTGTAGAGGCCAAATAAACGGGTGAGCACAGCTGATGCTCCATGGAGAAGAGAAACTGTTCTAAGAACAGTATAACCTTTAAAATCCAAAGACAAGCATGGAAATAGAACTATTATGTTTTGTTGCTGTTTCTTCCAAGAATAGAAAATATGCCTCATCTGATCAGTAGCCACTGGATTGGGCAATGCACCATAACACATAGGAGAGAGTCCCTTTTTCCTCAGCTAAAACACTGAAGATGATTTAGCTGAGTCCTCAAGCTGGGGCTTTGGGAACAACGTCTCTGTAAAAAGGAGCGGGGTTAAAAACCTGCCTGAGACGTTTGGAAACCGAGTAAACATTTACAAGAAACATCTGAAGCCCCTGGAAAACATAAGATATGTTTTTATCTTAATGATATTTTAATAAAAATCAACTTTAATGTAACTATTTTTTGTTTTGTTTTGAGTGTTCCCTGAATTTAATCCTTCTACTAACCAATCTTAAATTAAAACCACCAATCTATCTGTTATTTGTATTGGCAGTCTGTTTGAATTTATTAATACAATAAAAAATACACAATACTTCACCAGTTATCAGAATTTATGTAATATCTCAATAGGAACGGTTAGAATAAAAATAAAGGTGTTGTAACCAGATTTTTTCCCCCCAGTCTTCCATCCGGTAGAATGTTCTTATTGCCGGAGTGAGAGCATGATGGGTTTTCGGTACCGGTGCCAACAGTGCCATGGCTACCAGCTTTGTCAGAGCTGCTTCTGGCGCGGCCACGCTAACGGCCCCCATAGTAACCAACACCAAATGAAGGAGCACTCGTCTTGGGTAAGGAAACGCTCTTTGATCGCATTATGTTTCTGCCATCTCTGCACATTTTAAAAGTCAATACCTCTCGAAGACTTGAGGGGTGATTTTATGACAGAGCTGTCGTCTTAGTAAGGTTAATGATTTTTCAAAACAATCTTTGGGGGTTTTTATGAGGTTTAGTTATTTTGAAAATGAAATAGTATTGATTGGAGTCGCTGTGTTACCGCCTGTCCTAAAAGCTCAATCATGATGTCATAAATTGAAAGCAGGGAAGTGATATTACCCTAGATCCCGAATCCATTTCCAATTCCACTGGAAAGAATAACATACGGGTAGCTTCAGGACTGGAATGACATGATTGAAAGTATTAGACACAAAACACTGCTACTGATATGCCAAAACGATTTGTGCCGCTTGTTCTAGGATTTGTGAATCCTTCAGTAATGGATGTGGTCCTGCAAACTAAAAAAGTCTCATTTGGATTCATCTTTCTCCCACCTCTCCTACACTGTTTGGTTTTAGCCAGTTTTCTACTGTGAGAGAGTAACAGGCTGCCTCTCTCCCTCTATAGAACATGTTTATATAGAACATCCAATCCTGTTTGCATCCCTCCATCAAAGTGCCTCAATGTGCATGGTCATTTTTCATTTCAGTGTCAAAACAATTTATTGTAAAATCGTTTTTTAAAGGCAATGTATTATTTTTTTAAAATCCAGGTTGCCTATTTCACTGCCAGAAACGTAAGCTTTTCAGATGAACAGACAGGACCAGAATACAGTTATTGGACAAAGAAAATATGCAATAAGTTGAATGGAAGTGTTTTAGGACTACAGATGTGATAAATCTGACTCTGAAAAGTTTTAAGATGAGGTATAATCAATAAAATGACCCCAAACTACACAGAATACATCAGTTCATAATAATAAAAAGTGTCAATTACTAACTAATTCAATTAAAAAAACTAATAAAAAAAAGAACATATGTACAACATACTAAAAATAATACAGTTTAAATGTTGGTTCTGATTAATTACGTATCTTGATTACATATATTGTGGTGCAGTGGTTAGTTTCCATGACCCATGTACGGAGCCTTTAGTCCTCGATGTGGCCGACCCGTGTTGGAATCCAACCTGCAGGCCTTTGCACTATTTCTGTCCCCCTCTCTCGCCGCCCCTTCCCTGTCAGCCCACTATACAAAAAAACAAGCCACTGGTGCCGTAAAAATGATCTCAGAGTAGAAATACATCTACTTTACTGAATTTATTCACATATGTAACTTCATAGAAACAACCCCATCGTGATCAGCATGCCAAGGGTTTAAAGTGGCTACTACTGATAACATACTAATATTTCTTGAATAATTCAGATAATAATTATTTAACACCACGATTCCACTGATGCATTATGTATAGAGCAAGGAACTTACCTGTCCAGCTGCTCAGCTAATCATAAAGTATGGGGAAAAAAAGAGTACATGATGGTGATACTTTCCCACAATTAGCTCAGTTCTACCTTTTTGATTCTTTTTATCAAAGTCAGCAAATAAAACAGGTGATTAAGGGAGATTTTAACAATTGAGGACTTGATGTTTTACAAAATTTCTTTGATTTTTTTTTTTTTTTTAAAAATTAAAAACCACAAAAAAAATTTGGTTTTTTAAACTTCAACATATATAGAATGATTACAGCAGCTTTTCATACCAATAAATATTCACTTAAACATATAAAAGTTCTTATAAAAGGTTTAAAGTTTATGTCTGTTTGTTGGCATATTAAATTTAACTCATAGTGCAACAAAGGAAGTAATACTGAAGATTACAAAAGAACCCAAAAAGTTACATTTCATAATATCGCCCTTATGGTACAACTGGTAATCACGTGGTACCTGCTGGGTTTATAACCATTATACCATTTAACCACTGGTTTGATCATCAAATCCTCTTTTATGTGTTGTAGTTTTGCATTAGTAATATCTATATTTTTAATTATGCTCATCATAATTTACACTGGCATTAATATTTTTCATTAGGAAGCTGAACTCCTGTTTTTGAGCCTCAACAGAAATATATATGTCTTTGGCAGGATTTGTTTGAATCCAACAAATGAGATGCAAATCAGATTTTTAAATGTATAACTTATCAGGTAACTAGTAGAGCGCAGGAGCAATTTTGCCTTATTTAACTTTTTATAATAAAGAAGAGCATGATTTGGAAAATCATCTCCAAGCTGTATTGAGAAATGCACAAACCAAAGACTCCGACCCCAGACAATGTTTGGAAACATTCACTTTAGTAGACTCTAAGGAAGAGGCAAAGGGACATTTTTGTCCTACGTTTGCTGCCCTCTGCTGGTCTTTTATAGGAAAAACTGTAGTAAGAGAGAAAATCAGTCTGGGTCAGATAATCATAATGCCATAAAAAGAAGGGCTTTTAGGATTTTTTTTATAAATAGTCTGTTATATCAAAAAAGCGGAGGTGATGATGATGTCATTCATCACATGTAAGTGAACCACACCTGTGGATATCAGATAACACCTTATTCACACTGATTTAGTTAGGGATGTCATCTGCATGCTGGACCGCCACAGGTCTGCTTCATTCCTGGGAACAATTTCCAGATGCCTAAAGGTGGCAGATTTATCAGTTCAAAGGGTCATATATGCATAATTATACACATAATAGGAAGGCAGGAAGCATATCATGGATGAAGGAGATTCTGAGTTTTAGAGATGAATGTAAAGGACTGCAAAATGTTCTCATTAGACTATGTTGGCAGAAGCTGGAAAGATTGGCAGTAACTATAATGAAGCAAACTCTGTAGTGATATGAGCTATAAGACTAAGGAAGCATCTATTTAAAAGCATGTAAAAAGCAAAATTACAAGTAGCAAGTGGCATTAGATATTTGGAAACGTGTATTGTTTGATAAGAATGAAATAAATCTGAAGTATTTTATTCCCTTCTAAAGTATGGTGTCATTAAGAATCACTAAGAACTGATCTCACCTATAAAATGCATTAGCAGAGCTGTAAAGGTGTTTTAGTTTTGCCGATTCTGTGAGAAGAATGGAACAAAGTTTAACATGTAGTTCTATGAAAATAAAATGCCAATGTGTGATATTATGTCAGCCTTTAAAGGGAAAAAAAGTGTAGTTTAAGGAGGTTAATTCTACTAAAATATGTTGCTTAGGTCTTCATTATGTTTGCAGAAACCACGGCTAATCCATGTATTTGACAGAGCAGACATATCCCGCCTTTTCATTGAATTCTGAAACATTTCAAGTTGGTGCAATAGGTGAGAGGTGACTGATGCTGTTTTTTTTTTCTCCTCACTTTCACAGAAGTCTCCAGCCAAAAAGCTGAGCCACGCAATCAGTAAATCATTGGGCTGCGTCCCCATCGGAGAGCCGCCACACCCCGTGTTCCCGGAGCAAGCCGAGAGACCTCAGGAGCTCACCCATACAGTGTAAGGGCTGTTCTCCACCAGTTATCATGTGTTGATTAACTGGGAAATATGGTTCAATGTTCTTATGTTCTGTAGTCCATTCCCATCATGTCACAGCTTCCATCATGCGGTCATCACGTGAGCAATGGCGAGCTGTCTCATTGAGGTGTCTAGTCCCAGATTATTTGTTAACAGAGAAATGTGATATACTACGCAGGCTGAGGGGCTGCAGCCGTGAAGAGCTCAGTCATCCTCATCAATCTGTTGGCAATGAAACCAGGACGGTGCCATCAATCTCACATTCCCAGCTTTGGGGCTCCTGGAAGTCATTATAGGAAATGCATTATATTCTGCCGCTGTCTTAAACTCTGCACACTCGTTTACATGGAAGTTGAAAAATTATATGGTTTCCACAATCAGTTCCACTGCTGCATCTCATCCACATAGTGTATACCGCTGGGTTCTCAGTCATTTTTTTCGTCTGTACTATTTTCCCTGCAGCCCTGTGGTTTCCACAAAAAGAAAGTTAGAGGTTATAACTGTAAAGACATGATGGATTAGTCGCTGTACAAACCAGAAATAGCTCAACTTTCTGATCCGGGTTTTCGACATGCTTCTTATTTCGTAATCCTTTTTTTTAATATCCCTTTCACAACAATGAATCTGAGCCGTCTGTTTATGCCTCTGCTTTAGGCAAGTGTCAGGGAGTAATTGATAGAGAGATTGCAGTTAAGCAGGAGAGTTGTAGCTCAGCAAATGCCAGGTAAAAACAGACTGAAGGGTACATTTTTTTCTTTTAATTTTTTTTCAATGCATGTTGGATCCCATTAGCTGCGAATCAGCTCTCACATCTATTCCTCCCCCTGGCAGTGTCTTTTATTTTTCTACACTTTGTCAGAATGTATTCGTTTAAGACAGAGATGAGAATTGCATCAATTCATAATTCATCACTTCATACAGAGAAACTGCCGATCCGGGTGTTTTTTTACTACATGGAGACACGACGGCTGGATTAGGTTGTGCAATGTAGGCTGTGTAGCATGAAATCACATCACTGCAGAAGATTAATAGCAATGAAAATACAAAAAAAAATGTCTTGTGGAGGAAATTGGATGATATCCAACTGATGCCCTCAGCGTCCATTCTGGTCTTTTCTTGTTTAGTGTTTGTGTTTTAGAAGACGGATGCATTTCTCTTAGAATTTAGAATTTAGATAGAGAGCCTGTGGAAATACTCTTGATTCTTCTTCAGTTTATGTGTCGCTGTTTTTTTCTGATTTATTTTTTTGATCAAAAATCTTTATTTTTGAAAGTAGGCAGACAGAAAGTGGGATTATAGAGTGGGGGAAGGCATGCAGCTAAGGTCAACAGGCCGGGACTC